ACAGAGACCAATCCAGACTTGTCTTGCACATTGAAAAGAGGTGCTCGACCTTAACAATAGGAGAGTCATTAAATCCCGAAACCCATCAAGAGATACTCAGCCAGAACAATAGGAAAAGATATTAGGTTTTTGTATTCCCCAAGTCCAGGCAGACTCCTTGGCATATACAAAAAAAACCAAAGAACTGCTGATGCTAGGAGTCAGAAACAAAAGCAGAAATTGCTAGAGAAACTTAGCAGGTCTGGCAGCATCTGTGGAGAAAAGGCAGCATTAACATTTTGGATCCAGTGACCCTTCTTCAGAACTGATGGTAACTAGGAAAAGGTTGATGTATATGCTAGGTGGAGGAGTAAATGATAGGTGGAGATAGAGCCCAGAGAGACAGAACAGCAGTTAGGCAGACCAATGGAATGGGTAAGGTCAGCCTGGGAGAATAGCTGCTAATGGGGACCATTAGGAGTTGACAATGGGTTAGTTGTGGTAGCAGCCCACAGGGCTTGGTGCATCACGGTTAGGGTAATGGGAGAAGGGGCTGAGGCCCTAAAATTATTGAACTCGATATCAAGTCCTGAAGGCTATAGAGTCCCCAGTTGGAAAATGAGGTGCTATTCTTCCAGCTTGCACTGATCTTTGCTGGAGCACTTCGGCAAACCCAAGGCAGACTCCTTGCCCTTTGATTAATCATATCTGGAAACTCATTGGGTGCTGTGATCGCTACCCTGTGACCCCATTGGAGGTTGCCAGAGGACATGCTAGAAGGGCCCAGGAAGGTATACAAACAGATAGATGGAGACAATTCTCGGCAAAGACACAACCAGCCTGCTGAGATCTGCAATCATGATGATGGAAAGACATGTGAGAGCTATCTTTGTACTAAGAAGATCCTGAGTTCACCCATCAACGGATCTCAGTGAATTGAATCCAGCAGCCCAATTAAGTTCACCAGAGCAGTAGCAAATGTGTACATGTCCAGTCAGCCTAGCTTGGGAAAAGTTAACTTAATTTGTTGTGTTAGAGTTGTTTCTTTAATTTGTGAGTGTTTTAATAAAACTAAATTTGAACTGCAATCCTTTGTTTATCTCAAAAAGTAAGAGCACCTGGGTAACGCGTGATTGAGTCTATACTGGGCAAAGTGTCTATACAGAATAATTCACAGGCAACATCTGAGATGAGAAAGAATTTCTTGTCTCAGAGGATTGTGAGTCTTTGGAACTGGTTGCCATAGAGAGCTATCGGGGTGCCGCGTCCTTGTGTGTATTTAAGGTTGACAGTAGATTCTTGATCAATAGGGGATTAAAGTTTATGAAGATAGGGCAGGAAAGTGACCACGAGGAGTCAGCCATGATCCTATTACATAACCCAGCAGGCTTGAGGGGCCAATTGGCCTACTCCTGTTCCTATTTCTTATGGTTTCTGATCTTATGAACAAGGTGATTGGCATTGGCTACAGTAAATAATCAGGAGCAACTCCCCTGTTGCCTGTGATCGCCATATTTTCAGAAGGCCTTTGACAAGCTGCCACACAGGAGGCTGCTAAAAAAGATAAAAACCCATAATGTTAGGGGCAAGGTACTGGCAATGGATAGAGGATTTTCTGACTGGCTGAAGGCAGAGAGTAGGGATAAAGGGGTCTTTTTTAGGATGGCAGCTGGTGACTAGTGAAGTTCCACAGGGGTCAGTGTTGGGACAACAACTGTTCACATTATACATTAATGATGTGGATGAAGGAACTGAGTGCATTGTTGCTAAGTTTTATAGATGACACAAAGATAGGTGGAGGGACACATAGTGTTGATGAAGCAGGGAGGCTGCAGAAGGACTTGCATATGCTAGGCGAGTGGGCAAAGAGATGATAGATGGAATCCAGTATGGCAAAGTGTGAGGTTATATTGGTAGGAAAAATATAAGTGTAGACTATTTTCTAAACATGGAGAGACTTCAGAAATCTGAGGCTTGGGAGTCCTAGTTCAGGATTCTCTTAAGGTTAACTTGCATGTTCAGTTAGCAGTAAGGAAAGCAAACGCAATATTGGCATTCATTTTAAGAGGGCTAGAATACAAGAGCAGAGATATACTGCTAAGGCTCTGGTCAGACCACATTTGGATTACTGTGAGCAGTTTTGGGCCCCCATATCTAAGGAAGGACATGCTGGCTTTGGAGGGGGTCTGGAGGAGGTTTACAAGAATGATCCCAGGGATGAAGGGGTTGCCTTATGAAGAGTGGTCTGTATTTGGGTTTATATTTGATGGAGTCTAAAGGATGAAGCTGGATCTGATTGGAACTTACAGAATACTGAGAGACCTGGATAGAGTCGATGTGAAGAAATTTTTTTCACTAATAGGAGAGACTAGGACCCAAGGGTACAGCATCAGAGTGACGGGATGACCCTTGAGAACTGAGAAGGAATTTTTGCACCTACGGGCAGGGACTCAAATGGTGGACCACATTCAATGGTATGAATGGCCTAACTCTGCTCTTATATTTTATGATCTTATGATCTCAGAAAGATGCAATGGTATTGCAGTGCTGAATTTAGTGGCTGTTTTCATGTCCAATTAACTGAACAGAAGGACAATGCAATGTTACATAAAGCAGGTTGCCCCCTTCAGTTTTAGACCGCTCTGTCTCCAGTGTCTGTTACTGACTTAATGGTGGAATGCAAACATTCTCCTGCAGAGGGAGACATTGTAAAGGCACCGTGCGATCCTCAGCCAAGCTGTGTTTGGATTGGTAAATAGTTTAATCTGAATGACATATTTACATTGCAATACAGGGTGTATTTTAGTGGTACCCAGTTGGGAACACAGAGAGAGGAACTCACCTTCCCAGCCACAAAGCTAAAGGGAAGCAGCTGATAAGTCTCTGCCACTCTTTGCATTCTGGGGTTTAAATTGGTCTTTAGACCAAACTGAGTAATGGTTTGTTTACTTCATCACTCGCTCACTAACTTCTTCAGATCAATGGAAAAGGGAATATGATAATGTGTAAAACAGGCCACTGGTTCACTGGTGTTCACTTGCACTCCTGTCCAACCCAGATTTCTCCATAATTCACTGCTCCAATTCTGACAGTTAATCAGATGGAGTTGATTTAATAGTGTCTTCTCATTGCCAATGATGAGATAAGTGATACATCTATTAATATTCTAATTTACATTCTGATTCTCCCAACTATCATTCACAGGCAGTATTAAAATAGGTCTTGTTAATTTCTGAGTCAATTATTAGATGTACAGTACTCAATTATGGAGTGGGTCAGACCAACACCAGTCATTCAACAGTTGGGGGTTCTTGTGGCCCTATCTCTGAGCCAGGAGGCTAGGGTTAAAGTCCTGGCTGCTCCAGAGGTGCATAGTAACATGTCTGGTTGGTTAGGGAAAGGAAGATTGGTTTGCAGTAAACTACCCCATCATAAGCTGCTGTTGGTGGCAATCAGAGACCAATACAAGAGTCCATTCAACTCAGTTTGCTAGCTATAATGGTCTATTCAACATGCTTGTGGGCATTTTTAACCCACATCTCACAATATAAAAATGTACAGTGTTAGTGACAATCTCAACTCAAATGGATTAAGGGGATTCCAATATCAGGTCATTTTAACCTGACGTGTTAACTCCATTTCTCTCCCCAGATGTCCATGCCTGACTGGTTACATATTTCTAGCACTATTTAAATTAAGTTTCAAATTGTAGAGGACTATTAATATCTAAAATGGACATTAATGAGATTTCTGTCAGTAAAGCCAATCAGAATTGTTGGACACAAGTTGCCTGTGATTTCCCATCAGATTTTAACAGACAGTAAGATGTCCACAAAAGCTTGTTATTATCATTAGAACTCCCACTCGATGAAGCTCTTTCCTGGACATAGAAAATAAAAAAATCTATGTAATGACCTCTGTGTTGTGAAAAAAAAACACAGGTCAACATAATCTTCTATTCTTAGGCAGTGGAGCACAGATTTACTCTGTATCTAACCCTGTGCTGTCTCTGTCCTGGGAGTGTTTGATGGGGACAGTGTAGGGGGTCCTTTACTCTGTATCTAGCCCCATGTTGTCCATGTCCTGCGATTGTTTGATGGGGATGAAGTAGAGAGAGTGTGGTTGTTGACAGACCATATACTGGTCATTAATTGCATGTTTCAAAGATGAAACAGGACTGGGAGTAAACAATTACACATCCACTAGATTCTATTGTCAGGATGAAGGGGTAAATACAAGCTGTATCCTTACTCTTGCTCGAGGGTTTGATCTGAGATGAGGAAGGGAGATTGGGAAGATTGAGGGTAGAGATAGGACAAAACAGACTATTGAACAACAGGAGAAAAGTCCTAAATTAAAACTGTAATACTGTGTTTTCAAACCCAGTGGGATTGTGATTTTTACTGACTAATTTCAGCACCTGAGGCTCCTGTCCAGCTTGTCTTAACCTTATTCCCTCTGTTAATAGCATCTTCAGGGAGAAAGGACAAAGGCAACAAAAACAGGGAGACTTCCGCAATATTTACTGCAATTCTACTATGATCCTTATACCAATTGATTGAACTTTCTGATGGGAGATTTTGATCAATGCTCATGAAAGGTTATCGACCTGAATTGTTAACCCAATTTCTCTCTTCAATGTTACTGCCTGATCTGCTGAGTAATTCCACCATTTTATGTTTTTATCCCTGATAAATTCTGTTAAATCGAATAGCTTGGTCATGGCGATTCCAGCTGGGAATTTAGAACAGACATTGAAGAGAGCAGAAAACACTGGAGACTGAGGAAAACTATTAGCAGAAATGGTTTAGTTCAATAAACAGGTATCACTTCATTTCCTGAAGTATCTATTCAGAAAGATATTCATATCACTGCAATTCTTTCCCATATGAAGCAAAGTTTATTCGGAGAAATTCAGAACAGGCTTGTATTTCACCTGGAAACAGCTGATGGAGGAGACCTCAATTTGTGATTGGTTTATTAATGCTAAACCACACGTCAATTACTGAGTGATACTACTGTCATTCAGATAGAAACTGAGCTTCAGAAAGACTGACAGCACACCAAGTGGAGCTGGCACTTCGTGAAGTCTGATCATATTTGGAAGAAACAAGGGGTTTGCAATGAGAACCAGGACTTACTTTTCTGTGCTGGTATTGGTCTTAATTCAAGCAGCCTGGGCTGTAAAATGTAAGTTATAAAACAGTAAAATTTGATCGTTTATAAGTATTAATATCTGATCTAAGTCAGTTCAATGTGGTTTTATTACAGGGAGTAAAAATATTATATTAACTGAGTTGAATTCATGAGTATTAACTGGAGATTTAAGTATGCTTGTGTATTTTTGAAGGTTAGACAGTATATCTTTGCAATCTGTAGTTTTGTAGATAAATTGTGTAATATGTGACCAATTGAAAATGTAGTCATGGGGATTGCAGATGAATGATTTGTAACAGTGTCTCTAAAATAAAGGCTTTAAGTTGTTAAAGATTAGGTTCCAATTCCGTCCTTCCCCACCCCAACTGTGCATGATTGTATTTATATTGTAATACAACAAGAATAGCTTTCATTTATATACCACCTTTTAAATCAAAATATTACCGAAGAACTTTTTAGTGGCGTTTAATTAGACAAAACTTGAAAAGAGTTCAAGAAGGCATTGCTTATAGAAGGTGACTTGCTTACTGAAAATTTTAATTTTAAAGGAGCTGCCTAAAGTAGGAGAGAGAGAGGTGGAGAGTCAGGGAGGGAATTCCAGAGTTTACAATCTAGGCTTCCAAAGCCATTTCCAATGGTATAGTGTAAGAGGCCAGAGTTGGAGGATGCACGTTGTGGAGGATGCAGGCTGGAGGAGGTTACAAAAATAGGGAAAGATGAAGCCATGAACTAATTTAAACATGAGGATGAGAATTTTAAACTTGAGGCATTGCCAGATGAGGAGTCAATGCAGATCCACAAGCTCAGGTGAATCCAACTTTGTGTGAGTTTAGATATAGGCAGCAGAGTTTTGGTTAAATTCAGATTCGTGAAGGATGGAAGAAGGGAGGTCAGTTAAAAAAGCGATAGAACAGACGTTTCAAAAGGTAAACGGGTTGGACAGACTGAGCTTGTGTTCACGAGTTGAGAAGAGAAAGGAGTGGTTTGTTTGGTCTTGAAAAGGTGATTATGGAAATTATGCTTAATCTGGTAGCTGAGTTCAGAACTTGAGGAAACTGCTTTAAAATTAGGAGTCACCATTTTAGGAAAGAGATGGGGGAATTCTTTTTCTGTCACAGGGTTATGTGACTTCGGCACTCTGCCTCAGAAGGTGGTGAGCGTGGGGTTATTGAATAAATTTCAGGTGGAAATAGATTGCGTCACATGCCTAACGAGAATCTATATTCACCAGGGATAGATGGGAATTTTGATTGTAAAAAGATCAGCTTTGACCTTAATGAATCGCAGACCGGTCTTGAAGGGTTGAAGAGTGTACTTCTACTCCTAATTTGTCTGTTCATAAGTTCGAGACAGGGGACATCATAGAGATGGAAGTGGGTGGACTCAGTGATGAAAGCAATTTGGGATCGGAAGCTCAGTTTTGGGTCATAAAGGACACCGAGCATGTGAATGGTCTGGTTCAGGTTCAGTGAGTGGCAGGGAGGAGAATGGAAGGACTGGCAGAGTTTATATTGGAGAACAAATTCAGCGGCTTTGATCTTTGGAATATTTAGCCGGAGGAAGATTTTGCTTACCCATTGCTGGATATCAAAAAGCAATATGTCAAAGTTGAATCAATGGAGATGTCAAGAGATGGGATGGTGAGGATGAGCTGGTGTTTTGTTAGTGTCCATGTGAAAACTATGCTGTGTTTTCAGATGATGTCACTGAGGTGTAACATGTAGATGAGAAACAACAAGGTCCAAGAATTAATTGGTGGCTCAGTGGTTAGCCTTCTGCTGCCTCACAGCACCAGGAGCCTGGGTTCAATTCCACCCTCAGGCGACTGTCTGTGTGGAGTTTGCACATTCTCCCCATGTCTGCGTGGGTTTCCTTCAGGTGCTCCGGTTTCCTCCCACGGTCCAAAGATGTGCAAACTATGTGGATTGGCCATGCTAAATTGCCCATAGTGTTCAGGGATATGTAGATTAGGTGGGTTATAGGGAGATGGGTCTGGGTGGGATGCTCTGAGGGTTAGTGTGGACTTGTTGGGCTGAAGGGCCTGTTTCCACACTGTAGTGATTCTATTTAAAAAATCATAAAGAATTACATCAAATACAGCACAGAATCCAGTCATTGAGACACACTGCTCTATGCCTTTGTTTATTCTCCACTTTGGCTTGACCATTCTTCCTTGTCTACCTCGATCATCTCTATTCCCTTCTCCCTCATCTGTATATCCAGCTTCCCTGTAAATGCACGTATATCCACACCTCTGCTATAGCAGTGCTGTCAGTGTGGGAGCAGAGAGAGAAGATAGATAGATAAGACCAGAACCAAGTGAGAGCAGACCTACAGCTGGACTACAGTGAAGGGGAATGGTGTGATCAACCATGTCAGAGGTCACAGGCAGGTTGAGGAGGTGAATTCAGGACAGAAACCTCCTATGGAGATGAGGGCTATGAAGGATGAGGAGGGAAAGTTAACCTTCACCACAGTTATGTAGCATGTCATTGTGACTTTGATAAGTCATTTCAGTATTGTGGCAGAACCCTGGCTGGAAAAAGGCATTCTGTTAAAGGAGAAATAGTGTTGGCACAGTTGGAATAGCATGGGATTTGCCATGAGGAGAAGCAAAGTTAAGAAAGAAAGATAATGTTTGAGCTGGAAATGGTAAGTTAGATAATCAGCAGTTTAGTGAGAATAGGTTTGAGGGAACAGGAGGTGGGTCTCACAGATAAGGTGAGCTCAGAGAGAACATGAGGGGAGATGGGAGAAAAACTACAGAAAGGTGTGAGTTCAGAGCTAGGGCAGGGGAGCATTACTGGAAGTTTGTCCAGATGGATTAGTGGAACAGAGGGAAGTGGCAAAGGCACTTGGACATGGATTGTCTTAAATTTAGTAACAAAGCAATCTATGAGAATTGTTAGATCTTAGGCTGGAGGAGGCATGATGATGGTTTGAGAAGGTGTTTTACAGTGGTGAAATGAAGGGTGTGGCTTAATAATGGGTTTTAGCCAGCAGTTAAATATTTTGAGTGAGCCTGGAGATTGAGCAGAGTAGAATGGGGAGTCTGGGCAGTCAAGAGATTGAAAGGCAAGAGCGAGGCAGGAAATTATGGTGGCATAGGGTGGGCACAGTCAGAACATTTGTCGAGGGAAAGTGCAAGCCAAAAGATTATTGGGAAGGAGTTGAGGGGTCAGATTTGGAGGGAGTCAGGAGGTTGGAAGGGAAGGTAGTCAGGAGGGAGGTTGGTGGGGGAGATAAAAGGTTGAATGGAACAGAATCAAGAGGTTGGGCGGAGAGGAATGAGAAAGTCAATGCAAGGGGAGTTCAGGGATCTGTGCAGGGGGAGTTTGAAGGTCTGAATGGGCTGGAAATAAGGCAGGGGAAATGGAAAATTGAATGGAACAGATTTGAAGGTGCTGTGGAAGGGAACTTGGAGGCTGGTGTCGGAGGAGTCAGGAGATTGAGTGGTTGATGCAGGGAAGTCAGAAGTTTGGGATGGAGTTGAGATGCGGTGGGGAATGCTCAGAAATTCAGTTGCTGATTCGGGAGAAAGGGAGTTTGAAGATTCAAAATGGGAGGATGACCCTGGATCCGGAAGTCCTGTCTACATATGTCGCAGAAACTTTTTCGGGCTGGGAAGAATTAGTGGATGTAAATCCAATGGTGATAGCAGAAACCCAGCTGAGCCATTTGAAGTCAGAATTTATGCCATGAGATTTCATGGGATCTGGAGTCAATGTTGAGGTCTCCTGGAATTCTCTGGAGTAAATGTGCTGGCTGACCCCATGTATTTTGAGCACTGGAGGGGATCACTGTGTAGTACCTTAACACATTATGTCTCATAAAGAGATCAAATAAGGGGTTTGTAAATGACACAGCATTGCAGCATAACTGGTACAGTAAGCCTCAGCCTTCACTTATAGTAGATGTCATGTTCAAACTTTTGCAAGATTACCCAATGGAAACATGCCATTGCAACAGATCTAGCCAAAAACCATATTCCTTTAGTGTGATCTTCCATGAAGTACTGTAGAATGGTTACACCCTAAAAGAGCTTGTGTACTTTATAGCAGTGTTTGTGTGTGTGTGTGTCTCATGCCTGGATCTGAAACTCACCTTAAGGAATCACTATGGCATATCCTAGGTGACCCGCTGGTGTTTGGTATAGTCATTAAGCTTGTAGCTGACCCCTACTGTAACTGAAACAGTACTGAGGAAGTTCTTCATAACTGACGTAAGCTACATGCTCTGTCACAACGTGATTGGTGCCTGTCTGCTCCTAAGCCTGTCATCTACCCTAGCAGTATAACGATTCTGGGATGGATTTGATACCAGGGAAACGTAACCCATGCCTGCTCTCCACTGGGGAAGGATTCTGACTTAAGACTTTACAAAATACTTTCTAGAGTCCTTTCGTGGTGCACTTCACACAAAACCCTTTGATACTATTCCTGCTAGATATCAATCCAACGAAAGAATTAAGTAGACAGATCTCTCCACACAGTCTGTCAGTTGGCACAGTCTGGACTAATCTCCACCATTCCCGATCCAGCTGACAAACTCTGAGAGACAATGCTGTTAAGAAACGTGACATTGCATCCACTGAGTGTGTGAGCCATTGTAACATACACAAGTCTGTTGAGTTTTTCAGGTCCAGTCTGCATGGCTGTCAAATCCCCTGGTTGCCTTGTAGAATTGAAATCCTAACCCTAACCCTAACCTAGCCCATCCATCACAGCTTCTGTCAAACATTTCAGCAATAGATTATTCAGTCCAAGTAGCCTCAAGACAGGAAACCTTGTGTCAGGCCCCTTACACATTCTGCAGGGGAATATTTCAAATTGTCCTCGTGTCACTAGTTTCCCTTCCACAGTTAGTAGCTACCATGCCACTGCCAGACATCTGGCTGGATCTGGGAATATCCCATGAATTTTGCATATTGCAATGCAACAACTGTGACGACTCCAATGTAATTCAGTTTCTTTGTACACCAGACCTCACAGTCCCTTTTCACTAGACATTGATTGATTGTTGACATGGTGTCA